AATAATAACCGTAGCTGTGGTGTCATAATGAGGTGTTTCAGCTGCAGGACAGCAGTGAAGGTCCAGGTATAAAATGCACGGCCCACCACCGCCAAAATGTAACCAATGAGATAACGACACTATGCCTCTGCAAAACAAATGTATTATTATCAGAAGGCAGATTTGATGTGATACATATTTTGCATTTGTAATGTAGCGTCAGATTTTTTACCATACGACCCAATAAATACATTTTCTATTTTATTTTTCATGGTGGAGAGATTAGTCCGCTGGTTGTTTACTCACATTCTACTCACATTCTCACTCACATACTCACATTCAAGTGTTCCTGGACCAGTACTCAGAGTTTGAATTCCCAAATGTGTTGTTGTCATAGTCAAAGCTGTGACTAATAAGTGGTGTGGAAGGAGACCAGAGTCAGAGCAGACAGCACTATTACCTAACGCCTTGCTATGTAACCACTTACTGTAGGTTGTGACACCAGACAGGTAATCTTTGAATATTTCAAAACTGTGATAATTTGCTGTATAAATCATGGATAATGTTTCTGTTGTGAGAATTTTCCTTCTATCAGGGATAAATGAGACAATGCATTACAGAATTGCTATCTTTTCACTCACTTTACTGTATTATTGTGTGATTTTGTTTTTGAATACCTCTATCATCATGATCATTATCTTAGATCAACACCTACATGAACCCATGTATATCTTGTTGTGCAGTTTTTGCATTAATGGACTTTATGGGACCACAGGTTTCTACCCCAAATTCCTCTTCGATCTGCTGTCTTCCTCTCAACAGATCTCATATGAAGGATGCCTTTTACAGGCTTTTGTCATGTATTCATTTGCTAGTTGTGAATTATCCATTCTAGCAGTGATGGCCTACGACAGATATCTGGCTATATGTCGACCACTTCACTACCACTTTGTCATGACAAAGAGGAGGCTCTCTCAGCTGATATGTTTCTCCTGGCTCACACCTTTCAGCATCTTTTCCATCAGTATTTTTCTAACATCTACACTGAAGTTATGTGGTTCAAAAATTCCAAAACTCTTTTGTGTGAACTGGATAATTGTCAAACTTGCTTGCCCTGACACTGAAACTGTTTTAAGTAACATTCTCTCATATGCAACAACTATCATTTATGCATGTCATGGGTTATTCACAATTTGGACTTATATGCATATGATTAGAACTTGTGTGAGGTCCAAAGATGACAGGGCAAAGTTTATGCAGACGTGTGTGCCTCATTTAGTGTCTTTAGTCACATTTCTTGTTGTAATCCTTTTTGATCTGATGTATATGCGATTTGGCTCCACAGATTTACCTCAGAGCATTCAAAACGTCATCGCTATAGAATTCCTGCTCATTTCTCCTGTGATGAATCCTCTAATATATGGATTTAAACTGACAAAGATACGAAAAAGAATTTTAGGTTTGGTGAATGTTGAAAACAAATGACTGCTTCCAATTCATTTTAACTCTGTTTGTATTATAATTTATGTTTGATTAAAGGAAGCAATGCAACAGATGTAATGTTGTAATGTATACAGCATCTAGCTGAAGCTAATATGCGGCCTCTGTCCCTGGTTAGGCAATTAAATGTAATGTGTCAAAGAAAGATTCTATATATTAGCAAGATATGTTATAATGTTTGAGTTTTCCTGAAATGTCTGCAGAATGTCCCATTTTTTTCTTCTTGTATGTGGAATGGTCTCAATATATGCTTACTAACATAGTATTTAACTTTCACTTTTGCCAATATGTATTTGTTTTTTGCTCTGATCTTGTATGTAATGCAATTAGTGCCTTTAATCATGGAAACTTGTTGAACAACATCATACAAAATAGTGTCCTGACATGCATACACACAACCACCTCTCTTGCACGTATCAGAAGATGTAGAAGATAAATAAATAAATATTTTTGTTGGACCTTTTGTTTGGGCCTCATTTTAAATGTAATAATAGAATATGCTTGTTTTTAACATAGTTGCTCTTTGTTGTCCTATGCTGTCTGGTAAAAACACACTAACTAAATCTTGATAAGTTAATTACTGAGGCTTAAAAAAGCTCCTCTAAGCAACATTATACAGCATGCTTTCAGTTTTGTTGGGTCAGCCCCAACAGCTGACCTGGTACTCATCCCTGTAGTCACCCTGGAGGAGCTAACAAGAGCCCCAAACGCAGCTCCCAGCGCAGCACCTCCCGCCCTCAGCCACGAAGGAGTCCAGTCAGCCTTAAGTTGCCACATTTGGTTAGCAGTCTCCTTCTATGGACCCAATAAGAATCACTGTATTAGTATACGTTAAGTGCACCATATCTTACACTTGATAAAAAATATGTACTTAGGTGTGTGTAGCAGAGGAAGCCGGTCAGTAGAGGCAGAGGAGGCTGCTCCTCCTCTATTTTTGAGAGGCAAGAGGAGGATCAAAATATAAATAAGAGTAATTGCTTGAAATAAACCATCACCAAATCAATGTGTCATTTATAAAATATTTTTCTCTCTTCTTTGAAAAAAAAAAAAAATGACATTGTGGAAATTGTGATTAAAATGCGTCAACACCAATATCAGCAGGGCGGGCAAGAAAGTGAAGGTGGGGGGCAGAGGGGGACGGGCTCCTGCTGTTCTTCCTTAGGGCGGGGCCTCTTCTATCAAGTTAATGTAATCCATTTTTTTCACGTCCAGCCAGTACAGCTGACATAGAGGTGCAAGGCTGCGCCAAAAATGGCGGCGTAGGCTCGAGAGTGATCACTCGTGTAACTTAACATTGGCGGAGGAGAGATGAAAAAGAGAGCGGGGAGCGAGAAGGTGGACGTATTGAGATAAGTAATCATGTCATGAAATACTCTGCAATGGCAGCGAGGCCGTGAATATTTAACTGGGATATAGTCCGAGCTTACACGCCACGTGTGTATGAAATAAGCGTAATGGCGTATATGTGTGTGTGAGTTTGGAAAGAAAGGGAAGTAGAAATAGTAGGATCTCATTACAAGGCAAATCCTCACCATAGCAGTAAAGTACAGTAACTGTAACTTTATCACACAGAAGCCCGACTAGCAAACTCGAGTTTGGCAGCTGCGGCATTGAACGTTTAAGGTATTAAGGTAATAAAAGCATGAAGTATTCCTTTAAGATCTTGGGCTGGAGGTATGCCTTTACTTTAGCTAAAGGTCTTAACTGGAAGAAGCTAGTTTTGACAACTGAACAAATTTGCTCATCAAATTTGAAGAACCATCTAAAAATCCCATTAAGATTCTTAACAAAAGCTCAATTGTGAGAAAGGGCAAAGATTACCAACAGAGTCATTCAATAGGTCAGGTCGTCATTTTCATAAAGAGTTTAAATCCATCCAAGTTTTTGATATAACATTTCAGCAAAGGCTCCAATGAGCCTTTTTATAGGCAAATAGATTTGTAAGACAGGTAAGTGGAGCTGCAGCTGAACAATACTCACCGAGGTGAAGTCTTATTCATCAGGTATGACTGGAACCATTTGAGGTCAGTGCCTTTAATGCCCACACAATGTTTAAAGGCATGATTAAATGAGTTCCCTGAGTCAACAGTTAAGCGAAGATCATTCAAAATTCTTCAAAGAGTTGTTTCAGTTCTATGGGGCGATTTAAACAGTGGCAGGTCGTGCATTTTATACCTAGGCCTTCACTGCTGTCCTGCAGCTGAAATACCAGCTTATAACCACATAATGGCGCCACAGTTGTTATTCGTTTCTAAGGCTGTAACTATATAGTATTCGTATTAAACCGTTCGGTACGAGGCTAACGATACCTCTGAATAATGCTAGAGCATTTGGAAAATGCAGAAGCTTAAATTCAGGAAAATATAATGTTTTCTGCACTCATGTAGGACAGTGGTTCTCAGCTGGTCTGGCTATGGGACCCACCATCATTACTTAATGACAAGCCATAGCCCAATGAGATTGTCTTATGATTTTACTTTCACAACTTGAACATTTAACGTACTGCTCTGAAATGTCTTTCCTCGTCTCAGCCCCCTGTGTCACGGTGTGTGGTACATCTCACTCAAGTCAGGAAACTTGTCAGAATGCCCATATTTGATTGGCTGAGCTGCATCACGTGATGTGATTCACAACGCCGACTAAGCCTCTGCTGTTAAGTTTCGTTCACGATAGTCACGTGATCGCCCACTGACCAATCACAGCACACGCTGTACCTCACTGCAGAGCTGCACATGGAAAATTGAGCTGCAAGTAATGCTGACGTAGCTATAGGCCGGCTAGCAGGCTCTGACACGTCAAAGAATACGCCCAACATGTCAAACTAAAGATCTGATTGGTTGAAGACTATGACAATCAACAATATCGTCCCCATTCACTTAAACTGCACATGGATGCACTTGTGAGTCTGCAGGCCTCAGGCCTCTGTTCTTACCTAGAGACACAGAGGTGAAATCTGATTGGATAAAAGCTCTACTTAAAACAAGCTGCACTGGAAGCAGAGCAACTGAGGAAAATAAGATAATGGGAAAAATATTTTTATAAATTATAATACATGTAGTGTATTTAAGAAACATTATTAAATTATAAAATAGATATAGCTTTGTGATTCTGTTTAGTCCAGCAGAGAAGGCTTTGCAGGCCCTGACGGCCCACCACTGGATTTAAAGCCACACTGAAACTTTTCAGGAATGTCACGGTTAGCTAAAAAATACTTTGACAGAAAAGGTAGCTTGTTGATAAAACATTTAAGAAAGTTTTGCCGAAAAGCAGGTGTTGACCACACAGCTTGGCTGAGCGCAGAGAGGGTTGATTGTAGTATTGCACTCCTCCCCTAATACAGTTTGCAACAAAGATTTAATTGATCTGCTTGGCCTTACTAATTCTATTGCAAATAATAAAAAACATTTTCACTCACCTTCTCATGTAGCATGATGTCATCGTCTAACACAGCCAGTCTGTTCTTTTCCGTCTCTGTAAATGAAAGAAGTTACATTTAATTAAATAATTACACCAGGATCATATCACTCAGGATTTGTGCTGCTTATGAGTTCGTACTCACTGGGTTTAGCTTCTTCTTCTTTATGGTGGCTCAGATGCACCGCAAACGCCGATTTTTGTTGTCGGGCAAGCTCCTCTAATGACTTCACGTCCGTCATTGTTTTCCTAAGTTGGTTACTTTTGTTAAAGTCCACAGTTTTTGTCTCATTTCTTCTATCAATCTCTTTCTTCTTATAGTGCCGCTGCACCCCTTCGATTGTGGCCTTCAACGCCTTCTTTGTGTCTTCATTTTCTCTCTTCAGCTGTTTAATTGTCTCTTCGAGCTCCTTCGCTTCTCTTTTCTGATTCATCATCATTTGATCATGCGCTTTATCTTTCTTCGCACACTTTTCCTTGAAGGCTGCTGTCCCTTGCTCTTGTTCCTTCACTCTTTCCTCCAGCGCTTCCTTTTCCACCTCACTGCTTTGCTTTGTAGCTTTAATCACATCATCTTTCACAGCATATCTTTCACACAGGCTTGTTATCATTTCTTCTTTCCCCATAATGACTTGTTTAAGCTGGTTGTTCTCCCTCTTAGCCTCCACTAATCCTCTGCCAATCTGTTCTTCATAGTCTCTATCTTTCCTCTCCTCTGACTCCCTCGCTGCTTTCAGAGCTTCAAACTGTTCATCTTTCTCTTTAGCTGATTTAATCATGTCCTCTACTATCCTCTCCTTCTCCTTGGCTGTTTGTGTAAGCAGATCAATGTCCCTCCTTGCCTTCTTGAGCTGTCTTGCTTTATTTTTGGAGCTTTGATCTAGCTTTTGGTTGGTTTCTTGGAGTTTTATAAAACTACGCAACAAGTGTCCAGTATCATTCTTCACCTCTGTTTCCTCAATCTTTGCCAGCAGTTCTTTAACCTGAATATCTCCCACCTTGTTTGAGTTATCAAAAACATGATATCTATTCCCACATTTGTCCACCAACCACTTAAGGGCAGGCCAACTCTCTATGTGCTCCTCAATGGGAGTGACTCCCAGTTTGTCTCCCCAAGTGAACAGCACGATTGCTCGAGTCCACACCCAAACTCCAAGCAAGCTCAAGTGTTCCTCCGCTCTCAACCGGTCCGTTTCAGTGAAAGTCTCATCGCTGCGTACAACCACCAGGACCGAATTGGGAATGGGGGCACACAAAGACACACTGTGACACATCTGCTGTTGGACCTCCCGTGGGGTGTCTTCTGAACAGTATCTCCCATGCCAACCAGGAGCCTCAACCACAGTGACTTGCCTTTTGTGAATGTCTCCCCGTCCCTCAGTGCATTGTGATGTTTGAAGTCCAGCAGGGAATACTTCCTTTCCAAGAATGGTGTTACCAGCTGAGCTTTTCCCAACTTGCTTTGGTCCCATGATGAGAACTCGAAGCATTGAGATCAGAGGAGACTCTCCTGGATCAAAAACATGCAGGAGTTAGGCAACAATATTACAGTACCTTGGAACAATCTCATGTTTGTGTGCACTTTGAAAAATGACAACGACAAAGGGATTAAATGGGATAGATGAGGGGTACCCGAACTCTTTCAAAAAGGGAAAGCTTTGTTTTAAGAAACTTCATTGGATATTACTTGGAAGAACCTTCGGAAAGTGCGCATAAAAGGCTCAAAATGCACTTGTCAATTTGACAGTGGGACAGTCCTAAACCTGAAGACCCTTGCGGGAACGTGCCTCAAAGTCTGTGGGCCTGTGAATGTGGACATTAGAAGTGGGCCCTACTTAATATTATACCCTGAACTTTCAATAATGGTCGCCCGATATACTACGTCACTTGCTCTGACCGAATGCAAAAACGTAGCCATTAAACAGGAGTTTGCGCAAGATTCCTTTCACATTACCGATGGTCATTTAATCCAGTGTTACTATAACATATTGATTGATTAGCTGATACTTACCCATGAGGGATCCGAGTGTCTTTCTGGACTTCTGCATATTAATTCGCCTCAGAATCGCCCTCTCTTCTAATTCCTTCCTTTCCCTCCCAGTTATTCTAGAGACTTCCTCATTTGTTGTCAACCAACCGACTGCTCCTGCCTTTATGTTTCTTGCAACCGTTGCATCAATCTTCTCCAGAAGTTCTGCAACCTGAGCATCATCATCGTCTCCCCAAATGCTTGTGTCCAAAAGGTGGTATCTCTGACCACACCTCTCCAAAACCGCTTTGAGAAACCGGTGTCTCTCAGTGTAGCCCTCTATGGACGACCCTCTCAGTCTCTCACATCTGGTGAATATTACTATCGTGTTTCTCCACACTGTATCATTAAGCAGCTCAAGAGGACCCTCGACTGTCCACTCCCTGCCTCGGTGAGGGCTGATGGGTATGACCATGAGGAAGGCATGAGGTCCCGGCGGGCACATGGCCATGCAGGCTGTCATGTTGTCGTTCACCAGGCCGGGGTCTCGGAAGGAGTAGTGGATCCACCTTTCAGGGCTATTGATGATAATCACTGTACGGCTATTGTCAAGAGCACCCTGTCTCCTAACAAACATCTTCACGTCTCTGCTGGTATCAAACATCTGTTGGCCGAGGATAGTGTTTCCTGTCAAACTCTTTTCCAGCCAGTCGTTCCCCAGAAGGACAATCCTCAGCTCCTGTTTGTCCCCTGGCAGCAGACACAGCAACAGCAGTGCAAATTATGTCATCATATCATAGTCTTACTGAAATGCAGGTATTGTAAATGCATACTAAATAATAAAAACATGTATTGGAAACTTAGAACAAAGATCAAATCAATTAATATGCATTCAAATATCAAGAACAAACTCAATTTTTAACATTTTCCAATGAATTTGGACAAAATTTCATTCTGGACCATGGAAAGAGTAGTTCATGGTTAAGATTGTGTGATGTGGTTGAAAGCTCCATAACAGCTACCAAATGGACTGTCTTGGGCTTGTTTTTTTCAAATATAAAAGTAAAGAATGAACTTTCAATCTCAACTTGTAAACCAGCAGGGATGACAAGTCTTGAAACTCAGAAAAACTAGAAATTTGAACATGACAGCTGATTCCAACTGTTGAGGACCATTTGATGCAATTGATGGATAAACACTACATAGACCTTGATGGGAGATTGTTTAGTCAGGTCTGTGCTCTTGCTTGCTCTTCTTTGACAGCCATGAACTTAAAGTTACAAAGCCATTATACAACTGTGAAAGACACAATGCTACTAATTAATACTCACTTAACTGTTAAGGTAAGAAAGACCAAATGTAATTCAACAGCATACCTTTCCTCGTCTCTGCTCTGCAGCCCACTGAAACCATTTCTTCCATCTTTTATTCCGTCACATATTTCTTCAAAGACCACTTTGTTGGTCCTAAATGTACAGCTGCGCTTTAATGTTTAACTCCGCTGTCTGCCTGATGTCAAAGTCCAGCCCACTCAAACAGTGATTTAAGTCTATAAACATGTCATCTCTCCAAGTAGAGATAGCAGATGTAATCAGGTGATGCCATTTATTTCTGTGAACCAATCAGGGCTGAGTAACATTTGATCAGTTGAAACTATTCAGTCTAATCTGTTCAAACCACACCCACACAGTCCTGATGAGTTTTTCTACATTAGACTCTTAATACCTAAGGATGTTTTTTTTCCTTCTTCAAATTCAGCTTTGATTGTTGCTTATTTGGTCATGAATAGTTGATATTGTACTGAAAAAAAAAAATCACGACTTGAAACCAAGGTTCGCTGGGCCTTTAAACAAGACCAATCAAGATGTTTGAACAGTATAGCAATAACAAAAGCAAGAATCACACTTACTCAGCTTCCTTGGAAAGCCTTTTTATTGAGGTTCAAATTCAGTTAATGCCACAGCTGTTGCATTGCCAGTCTTCAAAACGAGTCCCCGAGTTATAATTGACTCTATTCAGTGACTGCGCAATGGTGCACATCATGCAAAAAGTAATTGACTACAGTAAGAAACCATGATTAATTACAAAGTTGGAAAAAAGCTTTGTCAGCATCATCTGTGCATGCCTACAGCATGCTGTGGCTTTAATTAGAAGAGGAGCATCACTGAAGGCAATTACAGCTCCAAACCTGATAGGTGAGCCAGTGTCACGCATAACCTTCGCAGATATTTTCGTAAAGTGAATGCCCCCACCCCCCCGGAGGCCAGCTCATGTTTAAATCTTCTGATGTAGCTTTCCCAAAAGTGGAACATTTAGCCTGAACTCGAGGACAATCATTCAAAAGAACTATTTCCCCCCCCAAAAAAAAAAAAAAAAAAACAAAAAAAAAAACAGAAGCACTGCTGCCATTTCTAAAAGTGACCATAATCATTTACATTATGTACATATTTATACATCCTGTCACACATCCTGCGAGTATGAGTATATACACACACACACACACAAACACACGATTGGTTGTCATTCAAAAGGTCTACGGCTAAAGAACAGCTACGTACATCTCTACAATTTCTAAAAGCGAATGAGACAGTCACCATTAACCTTTTGTACATATTTTCAGTGTACCCCGTCTCCTCACACTATCTTAATGGAAAATTGTGGATGTGTCATCATAAATGATGGAGGATGGCTGTAAATGTGCCTCTGCTGAAAATGGTTCTGTTGATGGATGAGACAAGATGGGAGGAAAAGGTTTGAAGCATGTTTTTTTTGTGTGGATTCAGCTTCTTCTGCCCCCTGGACTCTGAGCTTTAGTCTTTTGTGTCGGACCTACTGCGCAAACAGAAACTTACACGAATACAAATAAGTCAAAAGCGTAAGAGTTGCTGTGAGATTAAATCCTTTAATATTATCAAGTGTTTTTAGTTGAAGAAAAACATAAAAATTGTTTAGAAAACAAAAGTTGACGCAAGAAGTGCCACCAACTCAATTATCCTTGATTTAAAAAAAAAAAAAAAAAAAAAAAAAGAAATCATTCAATTGTGTAAATTTGTAATATTTGATTCCATTGGAGACCTCAGAAAAAAGAAAAAAACAGCAACCACAAGTTACATGTATATTCCTTCACTGAATAGAAAACATCCAGTGTAAAAAGTGTTCCTAAATACTTTGCTTATTACCATTCTTCTTGCTTCTGAATAAGAGTGTTACTGAATGACAGGATGAAGTGCACTGCATTGGTATCTGACCTCTTGAGAGAAAAGACAGCAGGCCAAGATACTAACGCTGTAAACAAATAAGGTAAAGCAAGTCAAAGTATCTTCTTGTAAAAAAAACGTGAACCGATTACAAACAGCTCTTTCTGCACAAGAGCAGACTTCACCTAGTCTCATTTCTTTTTAATTCTTTATTAACTTTAGAACAAGCTTGCATGGCAACTAATTCCGGCAACTTGCTTGTTATACAGGAGGACACAACAGGGGCTCAGTTAGCGTCTACATTTCCACACAAAATTTAAGCAGCACTGTCTATTAAGGCTTGTATGAAATCGGTCTGGTTTGAGAAATCCACAGAGAGAGGATGTACACAACATATTGCTGCTGAGGAGGGAAAAAACGAAAACCAACAAAATATATGATTAACACGACAGTGAGGGGAGGAGAGAGCAGGACACGACATGTCCCCTCCACGTCTTGCTACCATTGGTTGCATTTTGGACCAGGAAAACTGGCTTTCAACACTGGAAGAGATGCACTCATGGACTGCAGCGGCCAACGTTCAATTTGTTGCAGTGAAGAACAACTAACTCTGGGATGACCGATTTTAAAAATGGTGAAATGTATGGAGCTGTGCCACAACAACGGCTCGGACATCCACTGAAACAAAGCTGCCGGCACAGAGTGTGTGAGCAGCTTCTCAACGACTACAAGGAAGCCACAAAGCAACAACTTTCTAGCTTTCCACTTCAATTAAAAATGGCTTTTCATTATTCATTTGCTTTGCTTTTCATTATTCATTTGGTGACCATTCAAACATAACGCAGAGGTAAAGAGGTGGGTGCTGTTTTAAAGGGGTGGTGAATGAGCAATCCCTTGCCTGAGCAAGCTTGATTTAAGGCAAAGGTTAAAACATCACGACTGCAGTCTATGTCTGGAAAGAAAAATGATACGCCAACAGCTGCGAGGCTACGTGAAGACAATACATGAGTTTTTTCTGGGATCTGGTTACACCAAGATTCAAACACAAAAGAGCAGAGCAGTGTGCACTGCATTTAAACTGTCAAGCATCAGAGGAGAAGGGGTGGTAAGCTGAACGGCTTCAGTGTCGGGACCGGGATCGCTGGTTGAATTAACGTCACATTTAGGGGGTCAGAAAAATATGTAATCAAATTCCTATCTGTGTAAAGCAAGTGAAAATAGGAATAGAACTGAAAAAAAACAAAATGTGTCAATGAATCTGTAGGAGTTGGTGCTGCGGACTACAAATGAGACCCGTAGCAGATGGTCGGTGTCCTTGAGGACGGTTTTCACATTTGGAGCCCTTGCTTTAGTTTAGCAGACACCAGCCTCTCAATGCCAAGACGGTGAGGGGTCAGTTCACCAAAATAATGAGATGAAAACTCCCAAAAAAAGACTCGCCCACTTAACCCTTGCAGTATCTAGCCCTGGAGATGATGTGGGATTTGTGTTTGGAAATCTCTGCCCTGAGACTTCTGCTGCTAACCCAACACAGAGGAGGTGGACTGAATGTCAGTGGTTTAAAATGATACATGAAAAACTGCAACGTCTATTTCAAGAAAGAATCCTACTTGGACAATCCAATGATGTCAATGTGGTCAGTTTATTATCATCATCTTTTCACAACAGACAAATAGTAACTGCCAAAAGTCTGTAAAAGTTAACACGCTGCTGTTAACTTTTACAGCACAGTCAACATTTGTGTTGGAGGAGCAGTAGAAGTGTCAGCGGTGGCTACTTGGGGCACATAAATACAAATCTTCTTGGGTTCAGTGGGCAAAAAAAAGAATGAACACGTCACCACTCCCTAATTGGCTGATGACTCGGACAGGAAGTGGTTGGTAGAGCAGAGCAGGAAATGGGCTGACTGGCTGTCCATGCGACCTCAGACAAGTTAGGAGCTTAAACTCGGGTGTTACGGGGATTTAATGGAACTTGGATGTAGGCGGTGGGATTAAGAAAGATGCATCTCCCCCTCCTTACGTTCTGTGTTACATAAGAGAGCTTGAACCCCAGACCCCCCAATGCCCTCGCTCACTCTAGTGCAATTCATATTTCTAACTCTGGTCTCCATCATGTTTTCACTGCTGGGTCTCCTCCACTGCCTGCCGACTGACTCAAAAGTAGGAGGAGAATTGAGTTGGGTAGGGGCGAGATGCCGCAGGTTGACAGAAACGGCTGTACACGGAGGGGGGAGGGGGGGTGACACTTTAGTTTTCTTTCTTGGCCTCCGGGTTGCCATAACTGGAGCCTGTTTTCTTCACCTCGGTGACCCCTATGAGGCGGCGGATAGCTATCGAGGCTGAGGAGAGAGCAAAGAGAGTAAATGAGGACAGCGATTCAAACAAGACTGTGCATTCATTTTTCTCCCCCCAGGTACAGTCTAACATCCTCCTGTTACTTTTCATTCTAAAAGGACCGCCACCTACCTATGATGAGGAAAATGATAAAGCCAATGATTAGTAGGGGGGAGCCACTGACGACCACTCCGCAAGCAAAGTTGATGAGGGGCGAAAGCAGCAGGGTGGCCCAAAACAGGAAGTTCAGCAGCGTCCATGGCCTGCGATGGGTGGTTATGGTGGGTCCGGGGAACTTGCCTTCCTTTTTGTAGAATTCCTGTAGGGCGTCCTGAGCAGGAGGGGAAGAATAATTGGTTTAGTAACCTCCCTTATACTTATTTTAAAAAGGTATTCCCCGAGGTTAATTAGGCGACTACTAGAATTTTAAAGTTTACCTTCTCCTGGTACAGCTTGTGCAGCCAGATTGCACACTCCTTCTCATCAGCTGGTATGTCCTCCACAGGAAACCGCCTGGTTGGGGGAAAAAACAAACAAAAAAAAACAAAACATTGTCTTATACCTTGAGATTCCTGAAACTACAACGATTAGACACGAGCTAACCAACAGTCACAGATTCTTTTCGTTTTGACAGTGAGAAATGAGCACATAATGAACAGCTGAGAAATGACTTGCTGATCTATGATGGAATTTAAATGCTCATAGAGCTGACGGTGAAGGACCTTTAAAAGAATGCTGTGAACTTCAGGAATCTTTAGGAACGACAACACGTGTCACCTGCTACCCGATCTGTACTGCACATGTGCAAACCAGTACTACACACCTGTGGCTAAAGACTCTTGTGCACCTCATTTTTACTCTGCTAATATTAACGTACAGAGGTTGCATTGAGTTATACTATGATGCGTTAAAGCTCCACTCAGCAAAAATGTAAAACTTTATCAGGATGTGTACAAATTGTATAGAGTAAAATTTAGTTTTACAACCATCAGCTATTTATTACATCAGCAAGATTTCTTTAAAAAATGTTTGTAATGAAGACATCCAGCTAACATTTCATGAAAGACTAACTCTGACATCAGAATATAATGGACAAGAAGATGCAACGTACATTGCAACAGAAAACATTTCATGACAATAATGTAAATTCACTTGTGGCATGTTATGATGGTTTCTCACCAGCAGGGGGCTCCCTCACCTAAAACCCTCACACTCTGCACCATAGATCAATACAATAAGTGATGATTCAAAAAGGTAAACAGAGGGTGGAACTCACCTAACACTCAGGTCAGCTTTGTATTTTTTGCCGTTGACGATGCCCAGGAGAGTAGGAGTTTGGTTGTCTTTGAAGTTCAGAGTCACATCGTACACAGCAGTTACTGCAAGAAAGAGAAACAGATTAAGGACAAAGGACTCTTACGTGAACCGAGCATGGTGAACTGTGTGCGTGTTTGTACACCATACCTGTGCCCTTAAGACACTGCAGTGTGGTGGTGAACCCTTTGGTTCGGGGTAGTAGGTGGTATTTGAGCGTGGGCAGGCCTTTACTCTCGGCAACCTGCATGCTGATTTGGTGCTTCTGCTCTGTGAAGCGGGTTCCCTCGCAGTACAGCAGAAACTGTGGAGGGAGAGGAGCTGTGTTGATGCGCACAAGCACACATCTCTATCTATCTATCTATATATAGATATAAATAAAAAAGAAAAAAAAAAAAAAGAAAAAAAAAAAGAGTCACACAAGACTTGAGGTGACCTCCTTTTCCTTTGTCCTCTTATCTCAGTAGGCAGGTGGACTGTTTCGCTCGTTTATCTGAACACATGAAAACTATGTCATCGGCAGTGGCCTAACGCTTGACTTAAGTTAATGAGATCAACTGCTGATCTGCCTAATCTCAGCTGGTGAACTGATTGAGTCAAGGTGAAAATCTGAAGCACACGGAGCTTTACACCTTCGGTAAAGGTGCTCAACAAGCAGCCGGACCTGCTGCCACCGGGTACCAATGTAAGCCACTCGCTTGTTTGAAACAGCGAAGAGAAATTTTTCCCGGGGCTGTTGATGCACAGAGGAAAGTTCAGTTCATGGAGGTTCAGAGAAAAGGAAAAACAGAAACACACACACTATCCTGTTGAGAGCTTTTAAATACAGCTGGTGTACTGTGTGAACATGAAGATACACAAGTAGAGTTTGAGTAGAGAGAACCTGTGTCAAAGGGCAGCGTCTGCATTTCCTCATAGAGTATTTTATCCCCATGAATCCTTACGAATTCCAGTCCATCACAACTTGGATCTTATTTTTGTAGTTTTTACTTAATTGTTGTTATTGATATGAATAACACTGAACAACACTGGACAAGCCCCCATACAATTAAACAGGTTTTTAAACAAACTCTTTGGTCAGTCGGTCAAAATAGTTTGGAAGAAAAAACAAAAAGGCAAACTGACGTCACACCCAAACTGCTCAATGTAAGACGTTTACTGGCCAAGTTTATGGTTGACCTTCGACCTGCTATACTGGGTGTGTAGATGTGCCCACACAGTTTTCTCTGTGGCCTGAGGAATTATTACTCAACGTACGGGTGTTAACACATTTCATCTCCAAATAAACTATTTCTTGGCCTGTCGGACTTCTTTTGAGCGATCTCAGCAATAGACTTAGTGAGTGCAATAATCATGAGCAGTAAAAGTGATGCATATGCCACAGAAATGAGACCCAAGTTGTAATTAACCACAATTAAAAATGTACACCACTTTATCCTACATTTTCACATTTCAGTCTACTCAGACTGGGTAAGAGTTGAGTGTGTAGTAGCAGGACAAGGACTCCGACATGTACCTACCCACATATATTCAGGGTAGTCTTTGAGCTGGCTCAGTCCCTTGAAGACTGTCTTTCGGTCCTCCTCCCACTTTCTTTTGCAGAAGACGATTTCGAGGAAGTACCAGGTCCAGCCAATCAGAGGAACCTTCAGTAGCTCGTGTTTGGCGAGCACTTTTGAGCTCTAGAGAGGGAGGATGGGTAGAATGATGAAGTCCAACTACAACAAAATAGTTCACTGGATTAACATTTGCTTCATCACTAACCCCTAGGATGCCGAATCTTTCGCACATGGTCCAGCCACACAGGAAGTCAATCTCATAGTTGTGGTTGAGGATGGTGATGACATGCTCTTTGCCGAACTTCTCCACCGTAGCTTGGTCAGTGTATAAGGTGCATTCTGTGCCTGACCACCACTCCAGCAGCATCACGAGCTCTGCGCAGAGATGACAACACACCATGGGCACTGAGACAACACTAGTATACTACCGAGTGTCTTTTAAGTCTTGTATTGCACTAAAGAAAACTACAACGTATAAACAGACGTATAATGTACTCACGACTCCAGAGGGAGTAGGCCAGCCGGCAGTTGATTTTACGATAGAGCTGCTTGTTGATCGGCCAGAGGATGCAGGTGAGGAGCTGAATGAAGTTGATGATGAGGCCGCTCACCACGAACACAAAGCCCATCAGCAGCTGCAGGATGAACAGGCTCTTCAGGCAGGCCAGCAGAGCCATAGCTGAGGAGCCTGGAGAGCTGAGTAGGCTCCTTTCTATACACTATGACCAACCTGGGAGAGGGCAGAAACAGAAGAATGTAGTCCGTTTACGTCTGTTGTTCTGCAGGAAAAACATGCTTTCAGTAATTCAAACATGTCTTACCACAGTGGGATCCCTTTTACAAGCCGCGTTTACACGGTCCGTCAGCCAGTATTACAGACCTGAAGGAGACAGAAGAACAGAGGTTGAGCTAACAGTTCATCAAACAGGCGGAATTAACTTTTCAACATGGCTGTGTCAAATAATTCCACATCGGTTTGACGAAGCGCATGGTTACAAAGGTTAGATTATTAGTGTCTGTATCCATTTTACACACATTTCAATAAACTATGACTAACAAACTACTCAGATTCAAGTTTTATTTTCTATAGTTCCAATAAAAGCTACAAAAAGTACACGCTTTGTATGTCACAGCTGTAGTTTGGCGTATTTGGTCATTACAGCTGGCAGGGACATAACACTTATAGCCACCTTCATTCTTTCTGTATCACAAAGTGTTTTTGTCTGAAGTTACAATCAATGAGTACTCTCCCATCAGACCGTCCACAGGCCACCCGGCCATGAATGGACTGTTCCCACATCTGCACTAAAGCCCATTAAAGTGTAGGTCAAGCCAGTTTAAAGCTGTTCTGAGAAACTTTTCTAATCCGAGTTGTCCTGCAGATCTCTGGAGCGGTCTGTGGTAACTCAATCCACCTCTGCCAACTGGGCCTCCACCTGCTTTGTTTTACACTGTACGTAGCTCTGTTTTATTTAGTGACAGCATCAACATCAGAGCATAAGGCTAAATAGTTAATCAAGCCATTTCACTGTGGTTAAGGAGTGCTCGATTTGATTCGCCAGAACAAGCACTTTCAACGTAAAGCATCCTCGTTCTGTTCATTATGAAAGATAAAACTGATTGATCACTGTGCGATTAACTACGCAGTACATCACCATATGTACAGTCCCCTGCATTCACTGACACGACTGTCAGCGATTCGGCCAAAAACAAAAACAAAAACAAAAAAAACACACTTCGTGTCTGGTGTTTTCTTTTTAGAGCAAGAGCCTGCAGGCAGGACAACACGGGAGTGACACAAGTCTCTACCCACAGACAGTCTCGTTCAGAGAGTCTGCAATGACATCGTAGAAATCCAAGATGCCTTACCTCAAGCCTGTATCATTCATTAAAGTACTATAATTAAGCCATGTTGACACAGGGCCAGGTCATTGTGGGCAACTAATGAAGACAACTAGTCTGATTTAGTGCAACCAATCAATCTCAAGACACTGCAACACAACACACAGAATAACAAAGTAGCCGAGGAGTGAAGGAAATTAAATCTCACACGTATTTCCACAGCGCTGCAGCTCGGCCTCCTGGACAAATGAACAGAAAACTGTTTCTTAATCTCTGCGGTTGGGACACACTGAAGTGTTGCAACACTCTTACGCATGCACGTGTGTCATCCATCGCCTGATGGATGTGATCAGTCCAAACATCCACAGTTTGTCTCCGATTCGTGTTACAGATACCTTTGTTCCTACTGGGGGAGAGCGGCTTCAAGGGGTAAAGTCACACTAGTGTAGATTTATCCCGGGGCTCCTGGAACATATTTAGAAGAGTGGCAACGCTACAACACTTAAGAATCAAAGAGGGGAGTGGGTTGTAAATACAAAATGCAACAACGCATACATGCGATTGCGTTTCAGTCAGCTTGACAACGATGAACAGAAGTCGGTAAATGCACTAGTTGGGGAAATGTTGCAACTTGCTAAGGAAAAAAAAATTCAAATTGGTGTTGTTTGGCCACCAGCAGCTAACAGAGAAGTTCCCCGACAAGCAGTTACTCTGCGTGAGTGCTTAGAGAGACACATTTCCAAACATAAACTTTGTTCTCACTTTCTCTTCTAGTTGGTCTCATACAAGTCGGAACAAGCACATTTTCACTTCGAGCTGAAATGGAGGCCATAATTCACGGTGCCGAGACCAAAGTGCCTCTTACCACTGAATTTGTGCGCATTCACGCCGCCTCCGAAAATAACTTTGCAAAATGAAACTAGCCTTCAGCACTCAACACATTTGCTTTGAGAATTATGGTTAAAAGCGCAAAACAAGGTGTCAGGCCAACAAAGTTAACACATATTTTTCTTCGCGAGTTGTACATTCTTGTATTCTTTGGTTATATTTTAATGATGAATCATGATTCGATGATAGGAATAATCAGTAGAGAAGGCCCCAAGTCCATTCACATTTCGTGTTTTGTCTTTTTTGCCTGCAACATTGTACAAAGAGCAAATAGGGAGCGACAATGTGGCACGCTGCAAACTTTACAAACAGTCTCGTCTCAAAACCACAAAACTAGCATTACCTGTGATGGAAGGTGAGAAAGGCAAATAGAAACGGGAAGCCGTGAGAAGGCGGACAGCACAAGTGTTTGTTGGCTGCGCTAACATTCTCAGGTACAGTGTTGACTGTCAGCAAAGTAAATTACTTTCGAATCTCCTCTACTGTCAGTGTTCAGCTGACAGCAGCCCAGCAGGAGAGACGCTCTGGGTCGTTAGGATTAAATGAAGTATGTGCAGCTGGACGCAGACTTTTACTTTCTCTGACCATCTATAAAATAAGAAAATGCATGAAACAATGAACCACAAGCACATGAAATGAAGGCGACCATTAATGTTATGTTTTAGTTTGAAAAACGTCATTTTGAAAAAAAGAAATCCGATGCTTAGGCCTGGATCAGTGCTCCATTTCAGATATTCAGGTTAGTAGTTTGGATAAGAGTAGATAGTAAAAACCCACTTTGGTAAAGAAGATATTCACATTAAGCCCAATCAGAATATCACCACAACTGAGCTTAAAACAATAATGACTTCATCATTCACACTAGTCAAACACATCAACATTTCTCTGTGGTTGAACCAAATGTCAGGTGTTCTCTTGTTAAGACCATATTTTGTTTGCATTGGGGGTTTCGAGGACCTCATAACAACAGAAGTATTAAATGACATTCAGAGAAACAAACATTTGGTTCGACCATAGAAACCAGCCAGCGGAGATCCACCTCGCTGTGGATCCAGGCCCACCTGTAACCACACAAAGATTAGAGACGCTGACTGGGTTAAAGCTGCTTAAGGCCGGACAGACGCGTCTGTCCAAAGGACTGCTGAAATGTACATACAACAAAAACGTTAGCCTGATCCTGGCAGGCACTGCACCCTTATCAAGTCATTTGAATTCTAAAAACTGAATTTGGCTCACAAAGGTCTGCACACAGTTAAGCCCTGGAGTGCCATGCTGACTTCCATCTCTGTCACAACTTCTAGTAAAACTGGTTAGGCCTGTCCCAGACAAACAAACCGCCTCTCTCAACTTACCAGTAGACATAGTAGGCCATTGCCATGACCACCAATGCCCCACAAATCCCAGTGAAGATCATCACAGCGCTCTGGTTCAGCATTCTGGCTCCTGGTATTTCACCAAATCAAAGCCAGAATAGTAAAAAAAGAACATAAAGAAGAGCAGCGGATCGTCACAGGCTGCACTGCTTCGTCGCCATGATAATCCCACAGGAGAGAAGAGAGGGGGATTATGATGACGGCAAGAACACAGATCCTGCTGGAGGAGCCGACTATTCGGCAGAAGCGTCTCAGAGTTTCATGCAACGAGGAGATTTACCAATAAGAATTGATCTTCATTGAGAGCGAGGGCGCAAAAAAAAAAAAAAAAAAAAAAAAAAAAAGAAAAAAAAAAAAAAGCCAGCCCAGGAAGACAGAGAGGGCTCACTTCTGGGAGCAGGGAGACACATGTACTGTAAGCAGCGACTTACATGCATCCCATCCTCTAATCCAATAGATCAGATTAGGGCTGATTAGCAGGCTATGGGCACCCTGGTTATGTCACATTTCATTAAAATTAACAAAGAAGAAGAGAGGGCTCTCCACAACCACGGTAGAGTTAGCGGAAGGGCATCTGTTACGCTAGCTAGAGGAACCAATCATGTAGAAGTTCTCACCATTGGCCACCTGTTAGTGACACCTAGCATTAGACAGAAGTGCGACCTGAAAGAGGGTCAATCGTTTCCTTAAGTGTAATTGGGGATGAATTAACCAAAAGCCTGGAAATCACTGATGTTTATACGATATCTTCCCTGCCTGTCTGTCTGTCTGTCTTCTTGGTAGTACCTTGGGGAGCTGGAAACTATTTACAACAGTATTGCTCAGCCACACGAATATGGCAGACAGGGCTAGTGGGCAAGCTAAAAAAAAGCTGTCTGGTTCACACAGCGTTAATGTCAAAGGCTGTTCAGACAAGCTGGCATAGAGAAGCAGAAATGAACTCCAGCGTTTACTGAAGCAAAAAGGTCAAAGGTTAGAGTACAGTCCTGAGGCCTTAGCACCAAATATAAACAAAATACATTTGACAATGAAGGTCATGTATGTTTCACAGTATTAACTGCTCTCAATTCCGTACATAGCAACACCGTCATGCTGAGCACTCAGTAGCCATGTCAGTCATACAGTTGTTCGTTAGGTCAAGTGTGATATCTCAAAGCCACACCGCTGACTATCACCACAGCCAGAAGTTAGGAGGTGGTACTCTTAGCAAGTGAAACTGTGCATTTACTTCCTTTGATTGTGAACATGCACACATGGGTCAAAAGCAAAATACTTTGAGGAGGATACACCAGGAAACATTTAACTTGCACTTGCTCAGGTTAAATACCAATTTCTTTTGTCAATATAGGATTTCATAGTTCAAAAGATAACCCTAAACTGAAATTAGCACCATCATGGCGAAGTCATGTATTGCAATAATACAAACAACATGCACAATAGATTATATTGACCGTTAATCATTATCAAAATATGCAATTCATTGATCCTAAAATTGTCTTGAGTAGTCGTCTACCATCGTGAACAATCTAAGATCTTTGCATTCACTACAACAATTACTGCGGGTGTAGTTCATTTCTCTCCGCAGTGTAAACAGTGTCCTTCAGCATGCTCAGTGATGCACGTCTGACAAAAAAACGACTCTTGAGAACAGAATAATGCAGTCACAGAGTTGTGTGGAATTCATTTCAAATAGATGGCAGATAATATTGAGGAAATCTACTCAAACGGTCCATGCAAAGCGTCAACAGGACGGTTTCTCAGAAAGGAGACGGTATTTAACAAATAATGTAAATGGCTGGCTGACATAGAAAGGCCTTGCATCACTTTAACAAGGTTACAACCCTTTCAAAGCTCCCTCTGGACTCTGGAGGTAGCCATAGTAAGAGGCGATGACTGTTAACACTCAAGGATATATAAAAGGTCCTTCTTGCTGTAGTCAGCAAAATAATGAGACTAATGGCAAAAGGAGGGGGGGGGGGGGGGGGGGGGGG